TTTATATATATGTATACATGTAGAAATGCATACATATATATACATACATATATATGTATATATTTCTACATATATACATATTCTATTAGTTCTGCCCCCTAAAGAACCCTGATGAATAAACCCTACAACTCAACAACAAAATTCCAATAACTCGATTTTAAAATGGGCAAAGGACTTGAATACATGGCTCCAAAGATGATATACCAATTTACAACAAACATATGAAAAGATGCTCAACATCACTTGCATTAAAAACTGCAAGTCAAAACCGCAATGAAAGATTACCTCATATCCAATAGGATGACTACCATAAAAAATAACAGAAAATAACAAATGTTGACAATGATATGGAGAGACTGGAACTTACATGCACTAGGATGGTTAATATTAGGTGTCAACTCGATTGAAGGATGACTAGATTGCTGATGAAGTATTCTCTCTGGGTGTGTCTGTGAGGATATTATCAATGTTGATTGACATTTGAGTCAGTGGATAGGAGAGGAAGACCCACCCCCAATGTGGGTAGGCACCGTACAATTGGCTGCCAGCACAGCTAGAGCAAAGCATGTGTAAGAAGGATAAGCTGGCTTGCTAAGTCTTCTGGCTTTCATCTTTCTCCCATGCTAGATGCTCCTTCTTTTCCTCCTGCTCCTGGACATCAGACTCCAAGTTTTTTGGCCTTTGGACTCTTGGACTTACACCAGTGTTTTGCTGGGGGTTCTTGGGTCTTTGGCCGCAGACTGAAGGCTGCATTGTCAGCTTCCCTGCTTTTGAGGATTTTGGACTCAGACTGAGCCTCTACTGGCTTCTTTCTTCCCCAGTCTGCAGACGGCCTATCATGGGACTTCACCTTGTGATTGTGTGAGCCAATTCTTCTTAATAAACTCCCTGACATATTAGTTCTCTCTCCCTGGAGAACGCTAATACATGCACTGTTGGTAAAAATGTAAAATGTTACAGCCATTGTGAAAAACTATATGTGTTTCCTTAAAAAATTTAAAATATAACTAACATACAACCCAGGATATAAAAGATATATTTGCATGCTCATATTCATTGCAGCATTATTTACAGTAGTCAAGAGGTAGAAGCAATCCAAGTGTCCACGGATTAGTGGATAAACAAAATGTAGTCTATACATACCTACTGTAGAATATTATTCGGCCTTAAAAAAGGAAATCCTATCACATACTACAACGTCAATAAACCTTGATGATATTATGCTATGTGAAATAAGTCAGTCACAAATGTACAATTGCACTTACTTGAGGTATCTAAAGTAATCCAATTTACAGAAATGGAAAGCAAAATAGTGGTTTCCAAGGGCCAAAGGGAGGGGGAAATAAGTTGCTTAATGGGTATAGAGTTATAGTTTTGTAAGATGAAAAATTTCTGGAGATCCATTGCATGACAATGTGAATGTACTTAATACCACCCAACTCTAAACACAAAAATTGTTAAGATAGTAAATTTTGTTGTGTCTTCTTTACAATCAAAAAAATGAACAGACTTGTAATACATGCAATAACTTGGATAAATCTGAAAAACCATGGATCTATATCAAAAACATTACTTTGAATGAAAGAAGCCTTCCATAAAATAATACAATTCTATGTGATTTAATTTATATAAAGTTCTAACAGAGGCTAAAATACTCTATATTTTAAAAAATGATGCGGTTCAGGATGTGTTACCGAAAATATGACACATAGTTCACATATTGAGTATCTTAAGCTGGAAGAAATTAAAAAAATAAAAACATAGAAGCAGAAAGGCCTCTCTGAGCTTCTCCTAACCTCTGTCTCCTAAAGTGAACCATTGAAACTAGAATTCCCCTCATCCTCTTTTTCCTGAAGTGGGCCGTACAATCCAGCTAACCTTCCCCTGAAACAGGTTCTAAGACTCTCATTCCAGACAGGTCCTCCCTACACCCACAGGAAAGGAATGAAGACAGAGACAAAGAATAGTCTGATAAAA